GAATTAAAGAGGAAACTAGAGGCAGTGTGGTAGGGGTTAAGAACTTTGCTTTTGGAGCCAAACCGGCTGATGTGAATCTTGCTCTGCTGCTTTTTATCTGGGTGACCTTTGAGCAAGTTACTTAACCGTCTGTGCCTCAAGTTTGCTAATCTGTAAAATGGGAATAATAATACAACCTGTCACCTAGAGTTGTTGTAAATATTGAGTTAATACATTAAAAGTGCTTACTTTTGTGTATGTGGCAGAGTAAGCACTCAAATATTAGCTTTTATTAAGTCCTCAATTAGTGTTTGAGTGAATGAAATGGAAAATAAACACTGTAAAGTTATTCTGCACTGTCATTTCAGGAATTGGGACATCCTTAGTCACTTTTCAGGCAGGCATTCTCACTGATAATTCTAAGTGGGGGTCACATTCAAATGAATAGTTTTAAACTCCAAATAATTTTCAGAGATGGGGAGTGTTTCTCTTACAACTTAACTCTGAGTGACTTTATTATTGTTTCCTAATTCCCAGATGCTTTCATTCAAGGAAGATAGAAGCCTATGGTCCAAGAGCTTGAAAGCAGTGACTTAGCACAGAACAGGGAACACAAAGTTTGAAGAAAACATAAATATACCTTTCTGGACAATGAAAAGTGAGAAAAATATTGCCTTTTAACAATAGGACACAGGGGGTATATGGTATAAGATTTCCAGGGATATAGGAAGCCTTACTTGGGTTGGTGTTTGCATAGATCCGAATCCTTTAAAGTCTGTGGTTCCAAGTTCTCTTGGTGCCTTAGTTTGGGTTCCCCCAAAAGCAGACCCTTAGACAAGGATTCCTTTGTATATGTTTATTTGGGAAGTTATCTTAGGAAGCACAAGAGATGTAGGGAAGGATGCTTACAAGGGTACATGAATGAGCAGGTGACTGTCACATGTAGGGTACCAAAACTGAAGGCCTTAAAAACAATAACATGGACTCCTGATTTTTCTGTCAAATCTCTCAACTAAGGATGCCCTTCCAGTTGTTCTGTCAGAATCCTTATTCCTCACCTTCTTACCCCTGCAGTCAGTCCAATAGAAATCCTGATGCCTGCCTTTACCTTTCTGGTTCCAGTCCCTGCCCTCTCTCACCTGAATTGTTGCAGCAGACGTCGAGCTGGTCCCCAGTTTCCACCTTGGCCTACCCTTGTGGTCTTGTCTCAACAGCATAGCCAGACAAGCCTTAGGAATCATCACTCAGGTCTCCACATTCCTCTGCTCAAATCTTCCATCAAGTGCTTCTGGAGGTCCCCCCAGCCCTAGGTAGTCCCTCTCCCCTTTGCCTCTTGGTGTCACCTGTTCAGCTCGACTGACTGTCCCCTTGGCTTCTATCTCTGCTGCGATGTTCCCTCCAGTATCCTCATAACTTGTGCCTCACCTCCTTCAGACCTTCTCAAATGCCATTTTGCTAAATAAATGGATGAATGGCATGAGACACTCCTGGTACAGTTTGTAATGTGTACTGAATAAATGGTAGCAGTTGTTATGTTTAACTCCCTCAATCGCATTGTGTGGTAGCTGCTATAGTTATCCTTATAGTAGGGGAAACAGGCTCACAGAGGTTAGTTGGCCTAGAATGCTGGCTCTCAAACTGTCTTGACTCTGACCACAGGAAGGAATACATCTTACATCACAGCCAAGGGCATGCTTGCATGTGTGAATATGTATGTATATAACTATATAACTGCAGCATAACTCTCTCAAGCTCTTAGTCAGCCTTACTACATTTGATAGATTCTCACAAATTCTACTGGGTCCTAGTTGTTTTATTTATTAATTTGTTTAATTTATTTTTTGAGTCAGAGTCTTACTCTGTCGCCCAGTCTCACTCTGTCACTCTTCTGCACAGCCACCACAGAAACTGCAGGGTTAATAGGCATTCTTTTATTTTAGAGTCAGAGTCTCTGTCACCCAGGCTGGAGTGCAGTGGCACAATCAGGGCTACCGTAGCTTCAACTTCCTGGGCTCAGGCGATTGTTCTACCTCGACCTTCCAAGTAGCTGAAACTATAGGTGTGCACCACCACGCCTGGCTGCTGCTGCTGCTGCTGCTGCTGCTTCTTCTTCGTCTGCTGCTGCTGCTGCTTCTGCTTCTGCTGCTGCTTCTGCTTCTGCTGCTGCTGCTGCTGCTGCTGCTTTTTCTTCTTCTTATTATTATTATTATTGAGTTGGAGTCTCACTCTGTCACCCAGGCTGGAGTGCAGTAGCATGCTCACGGCCACCGCAGCTTGCTGGGCTCAGGTGATCCTTCTGCCTCAGCCTTCCAGGTAACTGGAACTACAGGCACACGCCACCATGCATGGCTAATGTTTTAAAAAAATTTTCTGTAGACATGAGGTCTCGCCAAGCTGCCTAGGCTGGTCTCGAACCTGTGGTCTCAGGCAATCCTCTCACCCCAGCCTCCCAAAGTGCTGGGATTATAGGTGTGAGCCACTGAGCCCAGCTAATAAGCATTTAATTCAGTATCAAAGAGTAACTCCACTGTACTTTTGACAGAAATAAAGCCATTTCACAGAGACAGCACTGGACTCTCTACATTTGACCCTTCACTTAGGCTCTATTCCACTAATACCTTACCCTCTTTTGATTTTATAATGTCATCTTTTATTTTTAATCTTCAAATGAATCCAACATAGCTAAAAATATTTGTGACAGTTTTATCTTTTTCTAGAGGGGAAGTTATATGAACAGATGAAACAAACTAGACCCCAGCACATTGATAGGTCTTTTCGGGCTTCAAGGGACCACTTTGCTGGGGACTCTCGGAAGAGACCAGAAAGTCTTCTTGGCTGCCAACCTGGCAGTGAGCAAATGTAGTAAACTTCTTTAATATTACTCTGACTCCCTGTTAAGGTGCTGGCTCAGTTTAACCAACTCAGGCGTTACTTTGCTTCTAGGGATGATGCCTTTAACCTGACCACAAGGAGCTGCTTTGGTCAGACTGTCCCAAGTTTCATTCATTCCTAGCTACCATCCTTACATAGTAAGTTGTAAGTTTTAATTCCTCTACTTATGATTGTTTGATAGAGATACTTTCCCTTCCTTTTTCTTCTCTGTTAGCCATTTTAATTTCTCCCTAATCCTACTATATTTTCTCTACATCTGTTTGTGTGAAGAAATCCTTACCATCTTTTAGAGGTTAGCAGCAAAAGAAACAAACTTATAATGCAGCAATATTGAACCAGTCATATATTGAGCAGTTTTTAACACTAATAATTTTTGAAAGTTAGTCCAGATGTTGCCACAGGAAAAGCAATAGATACAGAATTAAGGACATGGACAAGTCTTTGTTAAAGGGATTCTTAAACTCAGTTTAGTGGTTTGAAACTAGCAATTAAAAAATAAATAAAGCCAGGCATGGTGGCTCACACCTGTAATCCCAGCACTTTGGGAGGCGGAGGCAAGAGGATTACCTGAGTCCAGGGTGCAAGACCAGCCTAGGCAGCTTGGCAATACCCCATCTCTACAATAACTCAAAAAATTAACCGGGGGTGATGGTGCACGCCTGTAGTCCCAGCAACTTGGAAGGCTGAGGTGGAACAATTGCCTGAGCCCAGGAGGTTAAGGCTGTAGTAACTGTGATCGTGCCACTGCACTCCAGCCTGGGTGACAAAGACCCTGACTATTAACTCTGCTGTTTCTGAAAGTTGAGTACACAACATTTGTTGAGTTGTCTTTAGGTGAAATCTTTGCAACAACCCTGCAAGAGGGCACAGTTATGCCCAAGGACAGTCCACTAGCATGGGAGGAACTGGCATCTCAGCCAAATGTCTGACATCAGGGCTTGCACTCAGCCACGGGACCACCTTGTCTCATTTTTGATTTGGGAATTTCAGTGAGATTTCAGTTTATGCCTCTTTATTAAGTTTAGAGCCAGCCCAGTTTCCTTTGTGTGATTGTTGAAAATTTGATTTGGTAAGAAAATCGTATTCAAGAAATTGCAAGGTAATTAGCATAAGAAGGAAAACAACTTTTAAATTCTTTAACATTTCTAATCTTCGTTAAACATTTTTATTCAGTAGTAATTTGCAAGTTATTTTTCTCTTTCCAAATTCTTACCTAGTTTTAAAGGCAACCCATTGTTAATCTCATTATGTTTAAAGCATATACAATGATAAAACTATTTTCTTTCAGAATTATAGACTTTAGGTGTTTTTTGTTTTTCTGAGTCAAAGTCTCACTCTGTCACCTAGGCTGGAGTGCAGTGGCATGCTGTTCACAGCCACTGCAGCCTCGACCTGCTGGGCTCAGGCGATCCTTCTGCCTCTGCCTTCCAAGTAGCTGGAACTACATGCATGCACCACCATGCCCAGCTAGTTTTTTGATTTATTGTAGAGACAAGGTCTCACCATGTTGCCCAGACTGGTCTCAAACCCACAGGCTCAGGCAGTCCTCTCGCCTCCACCTCCCAAAGTGCTGGGATTATAGGTGTGAACCACCACGCCTGGCTAAGTGTTTTGATAGTTCATACTTATTCTCTGAATTGATTAGGAAGAGAACTAAGCATCAGATAGCTAAGGACCCTAAATAATAAACCTTTATTAAGCCGGAAGGATCACCTGAGCCTAGCAGGTCAAGGCTATGGTGGCCATGAGTGTGCCTCTGCACTCCAGCCAGGGCAACAGAGACTCCCAACTCAAAAATAATTATAAACCTTTGTTTTCAAATATTGCTTCCATAACTACCTGCCAAGTTCTAGCATCCTTTTGATGGTATGCAAATACTTATGTTATAGTCTTTAGTTCCTGAAATTCTTCTGTTTTAATGATTGATCTACTTAAACCATTGAGACTTATTTTACATTTCCACTATTGTTGAAATAAGATTGCACATCCAAAAGGCTTTGTCAGCCTATGGCCTGCTGAATGTTGGCTCTTATGAAAAGATAGCTGATATTTCCTGCCCTTGGGGAGCCCTCATATCATGAGGAGTTTTTCACCTTATTCTCCAGATAATTTTACATTTTGTCTTTCAGATAAAGCCAAGCTATGGAGGGATTACTGCATTACATCAACCCAGCACACGCCATTTCTCTCTTAAGTGCCCTCAACGAGGAGCGCCTCAAAGGACAGCTATGTGATGTGCTGCTGATTGTTGGAGATCAGAAGTTTCGAGCTCATAAAAATGTCTTGGCTGCCAGCAGTGAATACTTCCAGAGTTTGTTCACAAATAAGGAAAATGAGTCACAAACTGTATTTCAGCTTGACTTTTGTGAACCAGATGCTTTTGATAATGTTTTAAACTACATTTATTCTTCCTCTTTATTTGTTGAGAAGAGCAGCCTTGCTGCTGTGCAAGAACTTGGCTATAGCCTTGGGATTTCCTTTCTGACTAACATCGTTACTAAAACACCTCAAGCCCCCTTTCCAACGTGTCCTAACAGAAAAAAAGCGTTTGTAGAAGATGATGAAAACAGTTCTCAAAAGAGAAGTGTCATTGTTTGTCAAAGTAGAAACGAAGCACAGGGAAAAACTGTTAGTCAAAACCATCCTGACCTAAGCCATATTTCCCGGCCCTCACCTAGCATTGCAGTTAAGGCCAATACCAGTAAGACACTTGTTCCAAAACCAATTGAACCACTTCACAACTTGTCATTGACTGAAAAGAGTTGGCCAAAAGATAGTTCTGTGGGATATGCAAAGTCTCTTGAGCATTCTGGATCTTTGGATGATCCTAGTAGAAGTAGTTTGGGGAAAAGAAATGCAGTATTGCCTTCAAAGCCTCTACAAGACAGAGAAGCTATGGATGATAAACCAGGTGTGAGTGGTCAGCTTCCAAAAGGAAAAGCTATCGAACTGGCTTTGAAAAGACCACGGCCACCTGTTTTGTCTCTTCGTAGCTCATCAGAGACTCCCTATCTGTTAAAAGAAACTAATAAAGGAAGTGGTCAAGGCGAAGATAGAAACTTGTTGTACTATTCAAAGTTAGGCTTAGTGATCCCATCCAGTGGGTCTGGTTCTGGAAACCAAAGCATCGACAGGAGTGGTCCACTTGTTAAGAGTCTCCTCAGACGGTCATTGTCGATGGATAGCCAGGTTCCTGTTTATTCACCCTCCATAGATTTGAAATCTTCCCAGGGATCATCTTCGGTGTCAAATGATGCACCAGGGAATGTGTTGTGTGCTTTATCTCAAAAGTCATCTTTAAAAGACTGTAGTGACAAGACAGCCCTAGATGACAGGCCTCAAGTGCTACAACCGCATCGCCTCAGGTCCTTAAGTGCTTCCCAGTTCACAGACAGGGAGGGCGCCTCCCCTGGGACAGAGGTGCGCATCAAGACCGAGCCCAACAGCCCACTGTCGGAGCCCCCAGACATCATCCGTGTTACTGTGGGGGATGCAGCGGCAACGGCGGCAGCCTTGTCATCATCGTCATCAGTCACAAGAGACTTGTCTCTGAAAACAGAAGATGACCAAAAAGACATGAGCAGACTCCCAGTAAAAAGGAGGTTCCAGGCAGATAGGAGGTTGCCGTTTAAGAAGCTGAAGGTGGATGAGCACGGATCTCCTGTGTCGGAGGATCATTTCGAGGAGGGTTCAAGCCCCACGCTCCTCGAAGCCAATTTTCCAGATTCCGATTTGAATAAAGATGAATTTGGTGAGTTGGAGGGAATGAAACCAAACAAAAAATTTAAATGCAAACATTGCCTTAAGATCTTTAGATCAACAGCAGGTCTTCACCGCCATGTTAACATGTATCATAACCCAGAAAAGCCCTACGCTTGTGACATCTGTCACAAGAGGTTTCACACCAACTTCAAAGTGTGGACACACTGTCAGACCCAACACGGCATAGTGAAGAACCCATCACCAGCCTCTAGTTCACATGCTGTTTTGGATGAAAAATTCCAAAGAAAGTTGATTGACATAGTGAGAGAGAGAGAAATTAAGAAGGCCCTAATCATTAAGTTAAGGCGCGGCAAACCTGGTTTTCAGGGACAGAGTAGCTCACAGGCGCAGCAAGTCATCAAGAGGAACTTGAGATCTCGAGCCAAAGGAGCATACATTTGTACTTACTGCGGAAAAGCATACCGCTTTCTCTCTCAATTTAAGCAGCACATAAAAATGCACCCAGGAGAAAAACCCCTTGGAGTAAATAAAGTGGCTAAGCCAAAAGAGCATGGTCCTCTTGCAAGTCCAGTAGAAAGCCAGGAGGTTTGCCAGTGCCGCCTCTGTAACGCTAAGCTCTCTTCTCTCCTAGAGCGAGGGAGCCACGAGCGGCTGTGCCGGGATGCGGCCGTCTGCCCTTACTGCAGCCTCAGGTTTTTCTCCCCCGAGCTGAAGAGGGAGCACGAGAGCAAGTGTGAGTACAAGAAGCTGACCTGCCTCGAGTGCATGCGCACCTTCAAGTCCTCCTTCAGCATCTGGCGGCACCAGGTCGAGGTCCATAACCAGAACAACATGGCACTGACCGAGAACTCCTTGCCTGTGCTGGACCACAATGGCCATGTGACTGGCTCCTCGAGGCCCCAGGTCCTGCCTGAGCCTAATAAAGTCAACCATGCTGTCACCACAAAAGATGACAACGTGTTCAGTGATTCTTCTGAGCAGGTTAACTTTGACTCGGAAGATTCCTCTTGTCTCCCTGAAGACCTCAGTCTTTCCAAGCAGCTGAAAATTCACGTCAAAGAGGAACCCGTGGAAGAGGCCGAGGAGGAGGCGCCAGAGACCAGCACAGCCCCAAGAGAGGCAGGTCCGAGCAAAGACGCCAGCCTGTGGCCCTGCGAAAAGTGCGGAAAGATGTTCACGGTGCACAAGCAGCTGGAGCGACACCAGGAGCTGCTCTGTTCTGTGAAGCCATTTATCTGTCATGTGTGCAACAAAGCTTTTCGTACTAATTTTCGGCTCTGGAGTCATTTCCAGTCGCACATGTCTCAGGCTACAGAGGAATCAGGGCAAAAGGAATCTGAAGCGTGCCCCGTTCCCACAAACTCTCCCTCCCCGCCCCCTCTGCCACCACCGCCACCACTGCCTAAGATCCAGCCCCTGGAGCCAGACAGCCCCACAGGCTTGTCCGAAAACCCAGCTCCAGCCACAGAGAAACTGTTTGTGCCCCAAGAGTCAGACACCCTTTTTTACCATGCCCCGCCCCTCTCAGCCATCACATTTAAAAGGCAGTTTATGTGTAAACTTTGCCACAGGACATTTAAGACTGCATTTAGTCTTTGGAGTCACGAACAAACACACAACTGAAAGACCAACGCTTTTTACCTATTATGAAATGGGAGGCAGTCTACAGATTTCAATCTGAGTTGTGAAATGTGTCATAAGAAACAAAATATTTTTTAAAAAAGAATAAAGGTTGGAAATTGTTATGCTTGAATTCACATTTGAGATTAACTGATATTAATTAGTAATGTCCTTACTAAACCTTAGAAATAAAAAAAAATATTGTGGTTCCAGACCCTACAGAAACAAGGTGGTTTGATTTCATTAATGTTGACTTTGGATTAATCTTGATTGTTTGCATGGTTCCTCATTCCATGGTGTCAGTATAATCATTTAATTGAGGTTTTGGTTTTTACTGATTTGTAAGTAGTGGAATACTATGAAAATATTTCTTCTTTTGATTATTTCAGACACTTGAGTTCTATTTAAATCTTTACCATGTTCTTAAGTCCAAAAATATATCAGGAAGAAGTGGAGTAGTTTGCAGTATTGACTTAGATGTTAGAATACTTTAGCAATAAGAAAATGATAAACCTCAACTTTAATAAGTTATCCTGACACTTGATAAAAATAAATATTTGGTATTTTGTGGTCATTTAGAACTTTTGTATGGAAATTGTGAGAAATTTAAATCAGCAATAGTAACACTTAGATTTTTTATAATCTAGCAAAAACTTGCTCTCGGTCTCTTAATGTCATGAATGATGGTTCAACTCTAAGGAAGACTTGGGAAATGAAAGCCTGATGCTTGGAATCCCCTGAAGTCAGTTTACAAGTGCTCCTGAAGTCAGTTTACAAGTGCTCCAGCAGTGATGGGGACTGTCATGAGCCTGCTTAGCTACGTCGTGTGTACACTGCAGCTCGGACGGGCACTCAGAGGACTGTGAGTGTTTGATTTCCTCTGATTTATGCTGTCATGAATTGAAATGAGTGTAGTTGGGACAAAGAACAAAGCTAACATATGGCACTAATTTTGAATTTAACATTAGTATAACAAATAAGGTCGGGACATATGTTTAGATCCCAAACACTCAGAGTCAGCACAGCTGATCTAAAATTCTAAATTACATTTACTTCCTGAGAATTCAGAGCAGAGGAAGAAACACCATGCTGTGGTTTCAACATGCTTTTCAAGAAGAATATATGCGACAAACGCATTTTCCTGCTTTTCTGTCTTTTGTGACAATTTGTTAGAATTTGTTGGAGTCTAGGGGGATTAAAATATCATTAGCAAAGCTATTCAGTTCTAGGTCACTGCTTAATATTTCAGAAATATGTATCAAAACATATCAGTGGTCCAAAATTAGTTTTAGCTACTTTTGATCCCATAGGATTTGGTCTCCCCCCCCCCCCCCATTTTGTATAAGTTGTAATTAAAAGGTTTTCAATAGGTGTTAACCAAGTTTCAACGTGTTTCGAAAGGGAAACTTTTTTTACTTGTGTGGGGGGTTAGTATATAAAAGAAATTTTAAAATACAAAATCCTTTTAGGGTAGTAATATGGATTAAGATTCTGAATTTATAAATTTTTATAAGCTATTCTTCCAAATTAAAAAATGTCAACTACTGTGATTAAAATATCATTTTAAATTTGTACTATAGTGAAAAAGAACTCTGTACCCATCAGTCTCATTACCAACATTCCATACCAGTGGCAGGAAAAATATTCTCACTTTTTATTGAACCACAAGAATTTTTATAAAATACTGACTTTGTACATTATAAAGATTATATATGAAATTTTGCCTTGTATTCTTTCACTTGAAAAAACTATCAAAAATCCCAAAGCATTTTGGTAGTTACTTATTTTGGTAGTTACTTTTTGTTCACAAGTTTAATGGAGTAAGGAAAATAAGATTAAGTTGCAGTTACTGATTTTGCCATCTTTGTTTTCTTGAGGAAATCTATGCATTTTTAAGATAAAACTAAAGCATATGACTTTACCTGAAACATCAGGATGCATTATTTTACATCGCATTCATTCCCTGTGTAATGTAGTATTTCCTACTCTGAACATCTTGGTAGCTGTCACTTTTTCAGAAGAAGGCAGCTTCCCTGAATAATCACCTACATGGCTGTTAGAGCACCAGTGATAATTCCATGATACAAAGTATCTTGGATTGTAAATTCAGTATCCCAGAACTTGAAACTTTATGCTACATTTTTGAAGATTTTTAAAAATAAAATTGTTAATCAGTAAAAAATATTTTTGATCTAAATATAGGCTCTGCATATCTGTTAGATTTTAAAAACTACCAGTGTTTTGTCTTGTTCACATTTTTCTTTAGACAAGGAATATAAGATTTCAAATAAAATTTTGAACCAAAAACATTTATAATGCAGTTCTGATTTTTCTAGTACTTTTATACTGTACCTTAAAGGCGTTAGACTGAAAGAGTTTATTTTGGTGGTCAAAAAATAAAATATGCTTCCACTCATGTAACTATTTTAAATGTTAATAAGCAAAATAATGATAGTCATTAACTGCTTTATTCATTTAATAGTTTTTAAAGAATGTTTATCTCAGCCAGTAGGCAAATATTTGGTGTAAAACAAGTTGGTCTTTCATTGCTGTAACTTTAAGCTAGTGAAGGTATTCTTGTAAATATCTTTTTGGATTGTAATTAATTTTCGAAAATGTAGAGAGGTAATGATTCCTTGTAAGTATTCAGGATGCCTGCTTTTTTATGCAGTTGTGGAAAGAATGTAAAATGTTTTAATATATTCTTTGTTAATCTGAGAACTTGTTATTGAATCATTTTCTTTGTGTGGGATAAGGAGGGAGTAACATAAAATGTGTTTTTACCATGCAAAGTAAGCAATGGAGGTAACAAATGTTTTGCATTTTTAATAGTAATATTTCAAGATTAATAGAATACTCACCTTTAAACTAGTTAGAGTATGCATTTATAATTTTACCAAAATATATGACTAACAATTCAGCAGTTCTGTTATGTGCGTTTGTGGGATGTCTGATCTTGGTTCTCTGGTTTGGCTTGGGTTGTTGATAGCCTCTTTGTAAAAATATGCCCCAGCACTTGATCAGTGATTATCTAAATCCACATGTAGCTCCACTGGTGCTAATGAGAGAGAGACAGGAATCAAATGTGTCCTTTCATGAAGGTGCGAGGTGGCTGCTTCCACAGGCTGACTGCCTGGTCAGGGTGAGGGAGAGACATAGGCATTAACAGATCTAAAGAAATTGGCCTTTGTTCCCTCAGATTGTGTTTGCACACACGTGTGTATATGTGTGTACATCCATAATCTGGAACTTTAGAAAGTAAAATGATTTGATGTTCTTAGTAAAAAATAATTAGGTGTCATTCCTAACAGATTCTGTATACATTTTCATCTGGTATTGGGTTACAAGTCAGTTTGTCCATTTTTGATGCCTCATTGATGTTTTTGCAATTATTGTGAAACACATTATTTATTTAAATAATGCTGACTACTTAATAAGTGTTCTTTAACACAGACTACCAAACTTTAAATTTTAAAAATAGGTTTTCCTCTTTTGTGGCTTTTTGTGACTTTAGCACTTTAAGAAGATTGATGTTTTCGTAATTTTTTTTTTTTTCTGAGTTGGAATCTCATTCTGCCACCCAGGCTGGAGTGCAGTGGCACGCTCAAGGCCACTGCAGCCTTGACTTGCTGGGCTCAGGTGATCCTTCTGCCTCAGCCTTCCAAGCAGCTAGAACCACAGGCATGTGCCACCATACAGCTAATTTTTTTATTTATTGTAAAGATGAGGTCTCGCCATGTTGCTCAGGCTGGTCTTGAACCCCTGAGCTCAGGCTATCCTCTTGCCTCTGCCTTTGAAAGTGCTGGGATTATAGATGTGAGCCACATGCCTGGCGTTTTCATAATTTTTAATGCTCTTTCAATGCATATCTCAACATGTGCTCTAGCTTCTGGCATTTCCACATATCTAGGGAGAAAACTAAATTGGTGTTTAGGTTCTGGAGAAGAAAAACAGTGAGTTAATGTCAGATATTTTAAAGATTCCTTTTAGTGACAGTCTTTTGGGAACCAAAGTATTTTTCTGTAAATCCCGAAAGTAATTTAATTCAGTGCTCTTTAGTTATTTGTTAGTGCTGTCCCAATTTTCCACAAAGTTGTACTTGGTTAATATTAATTTTCAAACAATGATCATTTCTTTTGACATTAGTCCAAGACTACTTCAAATTTTTCATGGAATATACATGCGTATTGTTAAAAACAAATGGTTTTACAATTGTGTATATTTTGTTGTCATATACCTAGGCAGAGTAAGTCATTTTTCAATTTTATTCAGGAGTAAGGTTTTTTGGACTGAAAATTCATAGTAAAATAGGATTTCTAACTAATGTTAATCCATTGCTTATTTGTATCTAATTCTGTTATCTCTTTACTTTGCTTAAATCTTGACTAAGAATGATTGGAGTCAATAAATTTGTACTGTATTTTGCTTTGAGTCACAGTCTCAGTGGTATGTTTTGCACTTGGATAATAACAATTTGTAGCATTTACTTTTATGAAAGCTAAAACCCTTCATTGCCGCTTATGGGTTGTGAGAAATACTTAATTGTCCTCAGTTCCAGGTTGCTTGTAGAATTCAGGTTGTATTAAAGCATTAGTTAGTTGACCACCACAAATATATGATAATTCAAACCAGATGGCAACAATCTTTACTTATCCATCTTTTTCTTTACTGTTCAAACTAGTCGTTTTTAAGGTGATGGGAGGGTATTACATTAAAAAGTTTTAAGCACCCTCCATGTATATTTCAGCATAATAATTGATAAACTAATTTTATTTGATAATTTAAAGGCTTCAGTGTTGTGGCTTTTTTTTTTTTCATTCTATTGAGGCTCTCTTCTGTAACGCTGGATATATTTCTTTCTAAAATTATATTTGCTTTCCCTGGAAAGTGGAGATCTGAGTTATAAATATGTGCAAAGTGGTGACCCCCCAAAAGCCAGAATTTATAGAAAGTTGTGTATTCTTATATGTGTAAATTTCAGTCACTTTCAAAGTACTCTCTGTTTGATGCAATACATACCTATCTAGATGCTTTTTCCAATGCTCAACACAGTGGGGGTTTTTTTTTGTTTTTGTTTTTGTTTTTTTTGTTTTGTTTTACTGTGAATATACTTTAGTCATTTTTGCTGTCCAGCTTCACGCAGATTTTTGTTTACGACTGAGACAGCTCTGGGAATTCAAAATTAACATCCTTGCCCACGAGCTTCTTGTAGATACCAGAGAAAGTTTCAACCTTGTGCTCCTTGGGCGCAGCTCCTGCTGTGCTTTGTCTGAGTGCACCTTGATGAGCCGGCTGCCATCCAGCTTCACATGGATTCTCTTGCCCGCAATTTCACTTAGGAAGACAAGTCCTCAAGGATGGCATCATGCACAGCTGTCAGAGTACGACTCCTGGGACACTTTTGCTTATTTTTTGTATGGCTTTTTCAAGTTGGCTTAGGCAGAGTTCTCCTCTGAGCAATAAAGACAACATGCTTCCCACTGAACTTTTTCTCCAATCCACGTACTAGCCGGACTTGAATTTTTTGGAAAGATTTCAGTTGAGGAATGG